GGGAAGGGTTATTGTTTTTTTTCCCCCCGGGGGGAGGGGGGGGAGAGAAGAGAAAGGAGGAAAAGAGTATGCAATGAAGCAAACCCTTTAGGGTTGCCAGGCATCTGGTTTTCTACCAGAACGCCCGGAAAAATAGGGACTCTGGCAGAGCAAGTCAGCACCACTGACCGGGCTGTTACAAGTCCGGTCAGTGGGGCTAAGGCAGGTTCCCTGCCTGCCCTGGCTCCGCATGGCTCCCAGAGGCAGTGGCATATCCCTGTGGCCCCTAAGCGCAGGGAGTCTCTGTGCACTGCCCCCACCCAGAATGCCGACTCCGCAGCTCCCATTGGCCAGGAACCATGGCCAATGGGAGCTGCGGGGGCCATGACTCCACCTAGGAGCCAGAGGGACATACCATCCGCTTCCGGGAACTGCCTGATGTAAGAGCCTGCACCCCCAACCCCTCCAAACACACCAAAACTCCCCCCCCCCCGAGCAGAGCCTGCACTCCCTTATGCACTCCAAACCCCTCGGCCCAGCCCAGAGCCCCCTCCTGTACCCCAAGCCCCTCAGCCCTAGTCCAACCCCAGAGCTCACACCCCCAGTCGGCACCCTTACCCCCTCCTGCATCCCAACCCCCTGTCTCAGCCCGGAGAACCCTCCCACACCCTGAACCCCTCAGTCCCAGCCTGGAGCCCCCTCCTGCACCTCAAACCCCTCATCCCCAGTCCCATCCCAGAACCTGCTCCCCTAGACGGAGCCCTCATTCCTCCCACACTCCAACCCCCTGTCCCAGCCTGGCAAAAGTGAGTGAGGGTGGGGGAGCGTGAGCAACAGAGCGGCGGGAAATGGAGTGAGCCCTCAGAGAAGAGGCAGGACAGGGTGTTTGGTTTTCTGCAATTAGAAAATTGGCAATCCTAGCTTGGGACTTACCAAGGAGTGCCAAATCCTTCTCCCTCATTCATTTCATACAGCACATCATTGTAAAGCATACTTATTTTGCTTGTGAATATTTCCTTTTCTAACATGCTACCTATCATAAAACTGATGTTGGAATTTGTTTTGTTCACTTTAATACACATGCCAACATAACACTAAGAGGCAATTTAGGCAACTAAGAACAACAAGATTTGATCCCCAAGCAGCTATTTGTATTAAGATAGCTCCTTTCACAAGGAGAGGCAAGACATCACATAGCCAACTGAAGAATCAAAGCCTCATCTTTAAAATTATTGTAAACCATTTATTAGCTTGCCACATGTCTTCTAGATCAGTGGTTTCAATGAGGGGCATGTCAACTCATCTAGATATTTGCCCAGTTTTACAACAGGCTACATGAAAAGTCCTAGCGAAGTCAGTACAAACTAAAATTTCATACAATGATTTCTTTATACTGCTCTATATAGTATTTCAGTTTCTCTCAACCTGGAGGTCATGATTTATTTTATAATTATATGGTAAAAATGAGAAAGTAAGCAATTTCTCAGTAATAGTATGCAGTGACACTTTTGTATTTTTAGGTCTGATTTCGTAAGCTAGTAGTTTAAGTGAGGTGAAACTTGGGGTATGCAAGACAAAGCCTTCCGAAAGGGGTACAGTACTCTGGAAAGTTTGAGAACCATGGTTCTAGATCAGATACTACCTTTCTCGCTGTTTCGAAAAATCACTAACACCGCCAAGCATAACCAGAAGTTTAAAGATAAATTTTAAATCTAGTTAAAAATTAAAACCAGTAATGTAGTAGTTATTTATATATTGTTTCCTACTAATCAAATCTTTAAAATCCTCCAACATTTATAATAAGAGGTAGTTGGTGCTACTTCTACATTCAGTGTCTTTTCCCTTTTCTCTCCCCAACAACCACCACACTAAAATTTCCTTTGTATTTTGAATCTTCTCCTAACCTCATTGGCTCCTTTCAGTGCCGTCCCACAGCATTCTTCTTCCTTCCTTCCTATCAGATAACCAGCATATACACGGCCTGGTGGACTAGATACATTACTCTCTGGATTTCTGCTTTGTTGTTGTTTGTTTCACTGCACATGGTAGCCAGTAGCGATTTCTCAGTTCCTTATAGCATTGACATCCAAAGATTAGCATCAGCTGTTGAGGGCAAAGTAGGAAGGAGAGAAGGGGGGGGAGGGAGGACTAGAAATCAAGCCCAATTGTTCCAGACTTAAACATACAGGCATTTTTAATACACATACAATTTCAAAAGACTTTTCAGAGGGGAAAAAAAATCAGTAATCTTATAAAAGGTTACATTCTTGCCACAGTGAAGGAACAATGCAAGATATCAAATTGAGAACTTCCATCAAAAAAGTGTTTGCAACAATATTTGTGCGCTTTGGTCAAAAAGGCTGTCAGACAGAGTGTACAAAATGCAGAGGAGGTGGCAAGAGAGTAACACCTTCTGCAGTAAGCAGCACAATGTTGTTCTCATAAAAAAGAAAGAGCTACCAGTAGGCATGGTTCTGTTAGAAATCTCAAAGAGCCTGGTTTGAGTCAGTTAAACATACATAAAGTCAAATTATAAAGCATCCCATTTTTGAAGTGTTTTAAACACTGTTCTTAATGTATAGTTCTCTCATCCTGATCTGCTCAACCTTTTTCTGGTGATATCCAGGGCAGTTGGGAGCAATACCTATCTAGTTCTAAAAATACTGACTGTTTGTATTAAGTACCATTGAATTGATAAACACCACATATTTTGTTTTGATAGCTCCCCATTTTCACAACTCTACACTGCCTTGTGTGTCACATCCCCTAATCCTGAGGGAGTCCCTCCTCCCCCCACCCGCATTGACACTACTGTTCCAGGAGACTGACTGTAATTATATCTACACTACTCCAACTGTAGAACAGATGGCTTTACACAACTGCTGGAAAACTATTTTGCACTAAAAATCAGATGAGTATCATCTCATTTACCACTTTTAATGAACTGGGCTAAACCTACACAGAATACAAACTAGGTATGTAATGCACAAAATACTACTTAACTCCTGTTTATTCACCTTAGTATACACTGCTTCTTTCCGACAGAGATGTACACAGCTGTATGCGGACAAACTAAAATATACTGATTCTGCATACAGCCGACCTTGATTCTTAAGGTGATTCTTGGTTAGATGGATTTCAAATGACTGAGGACAAGTTTTTTTGTTTGTTTGTTTTTTCAAACAATAAGGTTTAAGACTATTTGAAAGCAACATGTAATGCCAGAAAGATTCTCCACAACTCTCCTGAAATATATATATAAAAAAAAGTCGACAGGTCAAAACATGTGCTGCAATTACTACACTAGTGTATTTGTCATATTTCCCATGAGTAAACCCAAATGCAACCTCGCCTCTTTGAAGCATTTATATAACCAGCTTTCTTTGGGTGGAGCAAGTAACTGAAGAATAAAAACAGTTTAACCCTCATCGCCTCAGATTGTGAAAAGGATATAAATCCTCCCCAAAACAAACACTGATTTGCTACCTCAATTTTAATTCAAATATCAACAGCATCGCCTCACATTTTGAAAAAGAATAATTTCACAAAGGGACATTGAGGGATATTTAAAGTTTGGTAAAACCATCAAATTATTGTTCCACTTGCACAAATAAAACAGTCTGCTAGTTTCAGACAAATGCTAAATATTAAGACATTAAAAACTAAATTAAGTGTAGGTTACAGCTAGTCCTAGCCATTGGTATATTATAGTCAATAGGTTTATTTACATTATAAAGGAGGAGTCATAAAATTAGAATGCATAATTTTTAATAGTCTTTTCTTAAGTAAGTTTGTCCATGAACTAATTTGGGCATCTGGGCCAGCTCTGTGTCTACTTCAATTCAGCTGTATGCACACAATTATATTCAGATTTAATATAGATAATTACTATGAAAATACTTTTAAAGGCCAAAATAAAAGTGTACTTAAAGTAACCACACACACACAAAAGAGTTAAAAAAAGAAGTTAGGAAACAATGAACAAGCTGTAGAAGAATTCTCCTAATTAATTGAAAGATATAAGACAAGTGAATCAGGTTGTCTGAGACACCCGGTTTCAAAATATTGCTATAGGATGTTTGAATTATGAAGCAAGCAGCCCTGCCCTCTCAGAAGGAGAAACTGCCATGCTGAAATACCAGATCATGCTTTCACATTACTGTCTATATACATGCAAACTGTTAATTTTAACAATTCAGGATCGCCAGTGCAGCATACCAGGAATGTAATTCATTTAGTCTTAGTGAGAATTAGATGCCATTAAAACAATTTCCACTTGGATTGTTATATGCTGGGGGGGGGTCCCTCCTCCCTCCCACAACATAAATGCAGAATTATGTTTGTGTCATTTGTATTTCAACACTACCCAGAATTCAGTATTTGCCAGCATCACTCTTAAATCCTTTCTGAAATTCACCTCTTTACACACCTAACAGGGAGGGAAAACAAACCCCGAAGAGGTAAAAAAAGGTGATGCCTAGGTCTCTATTTCAAGTGACCTACGAAACCAGCACTTCAGGGATTTTTTTTAAAAAATGGTTGGTTTGATTCTTTAAGCTATCACTAGCAGCTACAAAGCCAAACTGCAAGGGGGGGGGCGGGAGAGGAGAAGAGGAGGGTTGAGGAATTCGGCCTGAAACAGGCATATTCACAAGCCCTCCATAAGAGGCATGTACAATCTACCCTCTCCCCCACCCCGGGGAGATCTGGGCGCTGTGAGTCACAATAAATAAATAAATAAATAGACACACCCTCTGTGCTGAACTGACAGAGTAGTCACCCCCTTCCCAGACACAGGCTCGGGGGGGGAGGTTAAGAGGCATTTGGCTAGAAAGTTGAAAGGCAAGGGGAAGGGAGGAGGTATCAGAGCGCTTCAGCAGAGGCGGCTGCCGCTACTGCCGGGCGATACAGTGTCTCGGAGGCTTCTCCGGCTGTTGCAACATTCGCTGCCCACTTCCTGCACCCGCCACCAGCGCCTCCCTTCTCGCCCTGCCGCGAGGCGCCCGGCGCGGCGCGCTCACCTGGATGTAGTTGTTCTCGCAGTAGTCGGCCACGCGGGTGAGGTTCTGGTAGCTCTCGAGCAGAGCCCGCTTGCCTGAAGGGATTTCCTCCTCTAGCAGCATCTGCAGCTCTGCCATTTTCCACCCCTCCGCATCGCTTCCTCTTGCATTAAAGAGACAGCGGCGGCGGCGAGCCCACACAGCCCGCCTGGTATTGTGGGATTCCTCCTCGCCTCGCTTTCGTCAGGCCGCCGTGCTTTCCCCACCCACCCCCGAAATGCCCGTCGCACTGCACGCTGGGAGTTGTAGTCTGCGCTGGGCCTCCCCCCCCCGCGGCGATTGAGTTCCTGGCTTGGACATGCGCCAGGCGAAGCTGTGCGCGTGGAGGCGCGGGGTGGTTTCCCCCTCCAAGGCCGGGCCGTGGCTGATAGACTGAGCCCTGTGGCCACTGTCACTCACACAGTTTCTCCCCAGAGGGAAAGCTGCCAGCCCCGTTCGTTTCCATCGGCTTTGGTTCAAACATGGTAGGGCTGGGCCCGCTGCAACAATGGGAAATGAAAACAGCAGCGAGCGAGCGAGCTCCTCGGTGTCTGGTCGAGATCCGCTCTGCATTACAACACGGGGAGAGACAAAAGGGCCACTGCTGAGGCTGACAATCAGATATTGAAACACCTTCTTCCCACCCACCTCTCCCTCATCCACCTCTCCTTCCCGGCCTCACTAGATTAGATCTTTTTCAAGCAGACCTTTTTCAACAGCTACTTTACTTTCACTTAATGCTGATTGCCCTTTCCGCTGCAGGGAACTTCAAACAGTTCAGAGGGCGGTTCAGTCTCAAGGCCCATCCAGAGCCATTGGCTTCTCTAGAAACTGCCAGCAAGGATGCCAATTAGTGACAATTGTGACGATAATAATAATACTCAGAATGAATATAGTGCTTTTCAGCAGTAGATCTGAAGGAACTGTACTGAAGTTGTGTAGGATGGAGCTAGTACTCTGTTGGGATTAAAGTACACTGAAACAGCAAACAAACAAAAAGATTGCCTGACTAATAGTAATAACAATGAATAAAATCAGCATTCATATGGTTCTTTTTCTAAGTAGCACTTAAAATATTAAACAGGTGAATATGATATTTTTGCCCCTCTTTTAGCCCATGGGGTTAGCCAATATTGGGGGCCTTGATGCTGGGATATCCCTCTTAGAAAGAGAAATTGATTGTATGAGTCAGGTATTTCTATAATGCAATCCTGTTTTCTTTCAAAGAATGTGCACAAAGCCTTGTTTCCATGAATACAGTAGAGATAAACAACAAGCAGTTTCCTTGCTCAAAAATCCAAGTTGGACCTTCCAACGAGTAACCATGCCCAAAAGAAGCAGCATCACTCAGCTTTCTTGGGGCCATATTCAATACTACTCTCACTTTCTGCAGGCTGTCTTTTGCATGTAGCAGCAACTAATCAATCCCCACCCCTGTATTTTACCACCAATATCAGGGAAACCCCTGAGATGTCACAGCTCAGCTGATCAGCCTTGCAATGCAGTCCATTGCCTTGGATGGTGGCTTCCTGTTGTTTCCAGCTATCACTATAAAAGGGCCACTTAATCACTCCTTCCATTCAGCCTGAAAGAAAAGAGATTACCACATCCATCAGCTTTAACAAGTCTACAGATCAAGGCTGCTTGATGGCAGCCATTAACACTTTTCAGCATAACACTATTGTTGCTCCTTTTTCTGGTATCAGTGTCCTGTTCTGACATAGTGTTGCCCTTGTGCCAAAAGATAGCAGACATCTGGGGACTCGCAGGTTGACTTTACAAATGTAAGAGAAATCCGAAGAAGTGGGCTGTAGTCCACGAAAGCTTATGCTCTAATAAATTTGTTAGTCTCTAAGGCGCCACAAGTCCTCCTGTTCCCCCTCTAGGCACCACGGGAAACCTCTAATCCCAGGCTCCCCTCAGCCTTCATGGTCTGGAAAGG